TCAACAATGTCGATGACGATGTCGACGACAACATCATCTTGTCGACAACGATGTCTATACATTTTGTTTTTACAACAAAGAAAGATGTTTGTATGTCTCATATTGCTAAGCAGAGGGAGGGGGTTTGCCCCCCGCTGATTCCTAAGGCAATAGCCACGTTTACAAATGAAAGGATGCTAATTGGAGCCATCAGAATCATCCGTTTGGACTAAGGGTCTTTTGACCCTCTTTCGGGACTTCAGGGGGGTGGTACGGGTTCAGAGCAAATAATTCTACAGCAATGGCTCTCGTTGAATTAACTGAGCAAATAACAACCGCTGTTGACCAAAAGCAGTATTGTGCAAGCATTTTTGTTGATTTAAAAAAGCATTTGACACTATTGACCATAGTATTCTTCTCGAAAAGCTGAATCAATATGGTATTACAGGATCAGCATTACAGTGGATATCTATCTATTTGAAAGATAGGAAACAGTTTGTACAGATAATGTGAGATCTGAACTTTGTAACATAACGTGGAATTCCTCAGGGTTCTGTACTTGGACCAAAGTTGTTTATACTGTATGTGACTGATTTGGTAAATGTRTCAGAGTTTTTAAAATGTGTATTGTTTGCAGATGATACTACATTTTTTTGTTTGGGTAAGGATATAGAACGGATGTTGGAAAGGATGCAAATGGAATTTGTTAAAATACAAACATGGTTTAGACTTAATAAGTTGTCATTAAATTTAGAGAAAACTAATAATATGGTATTAGAAAACTATTGATGTTCCATTTAGAGTCGATGGGGTTGAGATTTGTAAAGTCAGTGAAGTGAAGCTTTTGGGTGTGACTGATGAAGGGTTGACATGGAGACCTSACATAAATTATTTAAGAGCAAAGATGGTTAAATCTATWGCTGTTCTGTATAAAGTAAGGAAGTTATTTAATGATAAAGCACTGTATATGTTGTAAAATGCAATAATAGGTCCACACTTGGTTTTATTGTATTGAAGTCTGGGGGAAAGCGTGTTGGACAATTACAAATCTTGTTTTTTATTACAAAAAAGAGCTGTGAGAATTATTACTGGAAAACATTGTCGTCACCCATCAAATTCATTATTTTGTAAATTGAAAATATTAAAGTTCTTTTGATTTGGTTGATTATAATATACTGGTTACGTACAGTATAAGGCCCACAAWAACACATTACCTTTAAACATCCAAGTACATTTTGTTAAGAGAAAGAGTTGTTATAACCTTAAAGGGACAGAGATATTTGTAAAACCCAAATTCAGAACTAGTTTGAAGGAACGGTGTACTTTAATTCAAGAATAAAACTATGGAATAATTTGGGGAGTGATGTAAAAAAACGCAGGCTCATTAAGTACATTTAAGAAAATGATAAAAGTTGGTTTGCTAAAGAAAAACGAAACAGTATAAGGTGTATCTATATAAATTATTGTTTTGGACGGATTAGATGTTCTTCTC